TCAATAGAAAGACATGAGAGGCTAGGAGGCTCACATGGCTAAAGTTGCTGCACCTGCGCAAAACCTGAGTCGCCTTTGGCCTCTATGAGTTGGAGTGTGCTCTTACCGGGAGTGCGACTTTTTATTTATTTGTTACAATATACCCTATAGGTCCATCGGGTAATGCAGAGCGGGTGAACAGATAAGCACAATGTGGGAAACAAACATAAAAATCGGTACAAATATCCTCATGGGTTACTAACATCATAATAAATTGTAACAGCTACAAGTATGGACATTAAAAACCTGACGATGAACTGGGTGAATGACAGGGAAATGCACTCGATCCGTGCATAAAAGAGCATCTTTCACACTTTTTATTTAAAAGACATTCGATGAAACGGCCGTCAGCGATTCTATGAAACGGCGTTCCATGAAACGACCATTTTTTCGATGAAACGGCGTTCAACGAAACGGCGTTCCCAGTTTTTCTTTCCGTTCCCTATGTCACCCTTTCCGTCTCCCAGTTAGCCTTCCCCCTTATCAACCTATCTTAGTCGGGGTCTCGTTCAGTGTTGCATTGTCTCTGCCCAAAATAAACGTCGTTGCTAAATGAAAGAAAATGGTTGTCCTGTGCTTGTCCTCCGTGTTTTATTCCTTTCACTTGTATATATTCATGTTCAACCCGCTCGCCTTCACCAGAGAACGAAGGCTCGTTGAAGTTTCAACACGATGCGGCGCACAAGCTGTCATTTGCCGAACCCAACCAAACCGCAAGAATTCCTAACTTCTTTAAAGAATCGCTCGTTGCCGATATACGTGTCGGACTTTTCGAACACTGACAGCTCTGGTGCAGATCCTATACGTTGTCGAGACATCTGAATGAGACCGCAGGGTAAGGCGTCAGGTCGAAGCAGGTTGGACGAACGAAGTTCGAACAGAACGGACAACAAAGCAGACAAAAAAAAAAAAAAAAAAGACTGCTGCGTCGCGCGATGACAGCGCAGCAGAAGTTGGTCGCACTGTCTCTCCACGGGGCGCGATGCCGCCGGGGCCCAGATGCGCTCCGATAGCAAACCGAAACTTAAAAACCCGGCGAATTTGTGCTGTTTTTCAGAAAGCCGTAAAAAGCTTCGCGTGCCTTCTATCGTTCTGCAATTCGTTGATTTAGCGTTTTTCGACGATACTAAGCAATTTTCTATTTGAAACCATGCTCTTAAAACAATATTAAAAAAGTTAATTAGGCAAAAATAATCGAAAACTCAATTATCGCGGACTTTAATAATTTTCCTAAATAGACACCTGGCACAGGACCAAAACGACACCAGCCTTTTTTCGTTGCGATGAGTAGCTTTCGCAGGAGCGATTTGGCCTGAGTTTTCGGAAACACCCTGTATACATATATATATATATATATATATATATAACGGGCATGGTGGCGGAGGGGCCGAAGGCGTGGGTACAAAAGACGAAAAGAACCCTTGGTGAAAACAGCAACAACGGACGATTTAATCTTCGACGTTTCGGCCGGAGTCCGGCCTTTGTCAGGAAGAACGTTTACAGATGAACGCGGGTAGTATTTATACAATGCTACGGTCGAGTCCAAATTTCGGCGGGGTGACGGTTGGAGCTTTCGAGAGAGGCGAGCGTAGGGCAGTTCTTATCCGGGTGAAGAAGCTTGACGGTCGGCGCCAAGTTTCAAGGACGGCGGGATGACGGTTGTAGCTTCTCGAGAGGGGGCGCAGGGTGACTTTGTGTCCGGGCCGGCAGGGGTGACCTATATACCGACACGCGGAGCGGCTCTGTCTACCAACACGGCCGGGAGGCCGCGGATGCGCGGTAGCTATGTGGGCAAAAGAACCCGGCCCTCCGTGTTTTCGCCATTGCATTGTGTGGCGTGCGCTCGTTGTTGACGTTGTAGGGACGCTTCTAGCTTTGTTTGTGAGTCGTATTTCCTGGCTAGGTATGTCGCATGCTATGCCCGACTATTTAAGCTCGCTACCCGAGCCTGAACGGCGGCGGTATCGAAACAAACTGTGCGTGGACGGCGTTGCCTACGAGGATTCGTATGCCGTAAACAAGGCCTGCTGGACTTCCGACGTGAAGTTGCTGCCACCGAAGTGGACGGCTTACGTCGTCGTTTATTCAGTTTTTTCGCCAAGCCAGTTTACGTCCGACACGGAGCAGGCGTACAAGTCTCTCAAGGCCTACGATTACTTCGAGTCGGTTTCCGCACTGCCGGGGGGATCAGCAGACTGTGGGTATGCGGAAATGTATTTATTAATTAAATAAATACACACAGCGTCTTCCAGTCAAGGTAGGCTATTTTTCCTACTCTCATGACCACAAGGCATGACAAACAGTAACGCTTTGTCCGTTCTGCAGTCTCGGCGGTAACGCGTTACAATTAACGACGTTACCAGGAACGCGTTACTTTTTTCAGTAACGTAGTAACCTACTCGTTACTTTTTTGACACAGTAACGGGTAACGTACTTACGTTACTATGTCAAGTAGCGTAGTTACGTTACTCGTTACTACAATTACACTTCAAGTTTGTCCGTGTTTTTAGGCTTCAAGCCATGTTGTTCTTCGCGTTTTTTCTCGTCAGTCTTTATGTGAAACCGTAAGAACAGATAAAGTAATTATGTTCTGTTTCTGCATGAACATAATGTTTTTTGATATGTGAGCTTATGCATACCTGTATCGTCAAAACCGTAAAACGTGTTAAATCACAATTTAAAAAGTAACGCAGAAGTAACGTGTGCTACTTTTTATCGGTAGCGGTAACGCGTTCCTTTTATTTTTAGGCAACATAGTTCAGTAACGCGTACCTTTGATTTGCAAGTAACGAGTAACGTATTTCGTTATTTTTTTTTTTTTTTTTGGTAACGCCTACAACACTGCCGTTCTGTATCCGATCCCCTTCTGCTGGGTAGCAGGGGCGTAGCGAGCCTCCGACAAGCGCTTGGCCGGTGCTTTGTGCGCGAACACCAAAGGAACAAAATCCGGGTGGTCTCGATCAGAGGACGGTTTCCCTGCACATAAGCAAGCCCCGAGACAGAGATTGAAACGGAAGCCGCACTTGCCTCCAAGAAAGTGCTTGCCGCCAAACACGCGAGGCGACCATAATTTTTGATTCACGGATATTATCCACCTTTTATGCCTTTCAGAGTGTGCCGGGAACTTGTAGAATCTCACTCCGGTGCTTTTCTTGTACATTTCTGTGAGATTAACGGCAACACAGCTTCGCGGCATACTGAAATACAATGACGCCCATGCGAAACGTGCTCCCTTTTGCACACACCCCTCGGCTCCGGCGCGATCGCAGCGCCGCCGCAGCGCCGTGTCGTCAAGCCCGCGTGTCGGTCTATATAGACGATAGCGTACAATAGACGAAAGTTACACGCGGAAACTAAAATGCTGTCTCAAACAAAAAAATGGGCGGCACGGTCATTTGTGTGCATGCAGGCATGCATGAGTCAAACCTGGAAGGGAACAATGTTAAACCTAGATGTAAAAAGAAATACAATGAATATCACAACCTGGAAATAAAAGAGAAAGTTGATGGTCCAGTTCCGGCCAAAAACACAGTACCACTGTTAACAAAGAACCTAGAAATTAAAAAAAAAAAGTGTTCTTTGATTGTTTTTGCTATTCGTCTGTTAGCATTTTAATCGATGCCAGAGTACTGGGGCTTTCATTTATTCCTTGTTTAATAGTGTTAAATCGGTAAATTAGGTAGGATTCACGCTGTTCACGTTCGCGATTTGATTTAAATCCAGATTCTAGGAGCGTCACTGACAATTTATCAAACGAGTGTTTTGGGAGAGCGAGATGTTTGGATAGAGGCAGTGTCGGAAGATTTATGGCGTGAGATTTGTGATTATTAAAGCGCAGTCTAAATGCCGTTCTAGTCTGCCCTATGTATTTGATTTGCATACCGTACACTCGAATTAGTAAACGACATTCGACGAGGCACATGTTAAGTTCCCTTTAATTTTGATCGAGAACTGCTACTGCGTGCTGCTGGCCGTGCTTGTGTGCTGCATCTGTTTACAGATCAGACATCCTGGGTGCATTCGTTAGGTGGTGGCGATGAACCTAAGAAGCAGTCAGGCACATTGTAACGTTAGACTGTACGGCGTATAATTCTAGTAGTGAATATATGCCTCCAACCTTTGACGACGTTACAGCAGGTTCGTGATTTATATTGTGAAAGCACATGACCTCAGACAATGTGTCTATACTTGATGTGAACACCCATTTCGCAAACGGCTGCTTCCGCTCAAAAACAGTCGTATTTTAAGCCACAAATAGTTTTACGCCCTTAGGGCTTAGTTAGACATTTTAGATTATTTTCGCCATACATTTAGGCAAGCCGAAATCCCTTGATTTTACCCCTCAATCAGTACCACATGTGCCAGCCTTCGACAGTACTCGTTGCTGTCCAAATTATCGTCGTGACTTAGTAGAGTAGTGTTAGCAACGACTTCTTTAAACGGTTGAAGTTCGCAACTCTATGTACAAATATTTTAGTGATATCTATAATCGGAGACCGATAAAACGAATGAGCTATACTCCCTTCACCCTTATGCTGTGACAAGAAGTTCTGCCTTCAGCGCGAGCATTCTGCCCTTTCTGCTAACACAAGTTTGAACGCGCTGGCAGGCTTAACCAAAACACACCGGAAGCCAGAGAGCTCGTGCAGAAGACGGAGCTTCTAGTCTCAGCTCAAGGTTGGACGTAGTATACCATTGTGCATTTTGGTGCTGGAGGTTTTCAACCAAATTGACAAAGCAGCAAACAACAGAAGCCGGGCGAACTTCTGAGAATTTTACGCAAGTAAATCATATGCACGTTTTTTTTATATAAAACTAAATTTACTGCGAGTGATAACTTCCCAACAAGTGTGCGAAGTGGGCGGCAGTGAACCAGAGCTTCAGCAATGCTGATCATTCTTCTGCTGCGTATTCCACTCCCACCTCTACACGTTCTCGTCCTCGCACTATATGTTCACATCGTCCGCTTCGTCCTCATCGTCATCTTCGTCCTCTCCGTCCTTTTCGTCCTTATCGTCCTCTTCGTCCTCATCCTCCTCGTCCTCATCCTCCTCGTCCTCCTCGTCCTCATCCTCCTCAGAGTCGTGTTCCTTGTTCCCACAATCATTCAAAGAGAAGTTGGTGGTGCTTGTTATTCCAATAGGTAGAGAGGTTTCCTTTCGGACACAGCGTCCTACACTAGGATAACCCGCCATTGGCAGGCATACACAGCCGGGTATACAGGTACATGGCTCTGGATGGCAGGGGTTACACTGAAACAAAATAGAAATACCATAAAAAAATTAGCTATAAAAATAATGAAAGACGTTTGCAATTCCGTGTAATGCCAAATTAGAGCGCATCTACTAAGAAGGAGGAGGGGAGGGTACGGAGAAGAGGGTATTCCCCTCCCACTCCTCCCCCTCTCCTCCTTCTCTCTTGCTCCCCTCCCATTTCGCGGGAAATTTTGGCTAAACTTCAGGCGAAATATAGCTGAACTCCTTCCGCTAAATTTAGCACAAAAATATTCCGGCAAAATATAGCACGAATTTTCCCGCTAAATTTAGAGGGAAACATTTTCCGCTGAATTTAGCTGTGAAATTTAGGGAAAATTTTCCCGCTAAACTTAGCGGGGAAACTGAAATGGTGTTGAGGTTACGAGACGTCAATTTGCCCGCTAAATATAGGGGAGAAACAAACATATAAATTTTGTGGTGAAATTTCCCCTCTAAGTTTACTGGTCGACGTTTCCCGCTAAATATAGCGGGGTAGGTTTCTGTGTTATATTTAGCGGGAAAACTACATTGGTGATGAGGTCACGTGACATCAATTTCCCCGCTAAATTTAGCAGCGAAATTTAGAGTCAGCGCCGGCGTCGGCTTTGGCGCTGACCCCGTCGGCGTCAGCGCCGAAGCCGACGACGGCGCTGACACCGACAGGGCTCAAGCCTGAGACGGGCGCCGAAGAGCTGCGCTCTAAAACGTAAATCTAGTGCCCGGAAAGGATGCCGTCTTCAGACAGCTTGGCGTAATTACACTAAAACCAAAGTGTTTATGTTTGTACTCTTTGAGAAAAAGTCGTTGGCTCAATATTCTTCTTTTTTCACGTAATGACCGATCAACATTCCCGCGGCAGTGAAAAAAAAAAAAAAAAGATTGCCTTGATGATTTTGTTAAATCCGTTCATACAAAAAATCTGCCGCGTGTATATTTTACGTCAATAAATACTTCCTATGCTTGATTGCGGGGAGACGATTGTGCTTTCGAGAGCTCTGCACACACTACACACTCCTTCGTTCTTTAGTTTTTTTTTTTTTTTTTTCAGATTAATCAAGACAAGTGTAAATTTATTCCCGAGTGAAGTGTGTCACGAGCATGATTAAGTGCGTCTAAGACCTTGAATTTTTCATGTGCTTGGAATTCAGGGAACCTCTTCTGGTAACTGAAGTAATCTCGAAAAGAGGTATTTAACGCCGCTTAGGATACCTAATGACTACTGTTTGAAGTGGTAAAGTCATATACGTCCTGCGTAACCCTTGGAAGCTACGTTATGATTAGATTTACCTGTTTTTTGTGTTTAGTTTTTCAAATTTATAAACTTTTCGTGGCGGCATTTTTACTACCGATATCGTGTTTTTGTGTGAAATTGTTATAACTTCACCAATGCACAACAAAATCCTCAATTTGTTTTAGAAACAATACCCCCCCCCCCTCCCCTTCCTCCGACCGAACAAAAGAACACTCGAATTCAAAACAAGAAACATGAACACCGACACCATGAAACCCTAGGTGTAATTCATCCTGTGATATTACTCCAAGGGGGGGAAGGGGGGGGAGGGGGGAGGTAGGGAGGGAGGGAAGGAGGGATATGTTTTGTCATTGGGGGAGCCCGCTGCGCGCAGACATTTGCTTTTGGAGTAATGCATAACTCCCGTCCGCGGTCGTCTGGACTCGCAGCCGAGATTCGTCTGCGAACCAAGCGTGCTCGACTAAACACAGGTTGTCCCCGAAAAGCATTTACAAGGTTTCCTTCTCCGCAAAAATAAACTGAATGACAGAAGGCTCATTCTCCGCCCAATTATAGCGCCATAGGGTTTCACCAGATGCCAAATCTTCCGCCAGAACCAATATATTATAAAAAAAATTATAGGTTATTTTTTGAAAATTTCAATGGGAAAAAGCGGCCGACGGAGTTCTCGACTGCATGAAGCTTTACTGACCCAGAAGGGGAAAACGGGCAATAACGGGCCCTATTTTCTCATTTCAATTTTCAGAAAATCGCTTATAATCTTTAAATAAGATATCGGTATGGGCTGAAACTTTGGCACCTGGTTCACACCTCTAGCGTCGCCTTTGGACGGAGAATGAGCGTTCTACGAGGCGTAGTCTATTTTTGAAGTGGACAAAAATCTGTAATTTCGTTTGTTTTTTCGGAGACACCCTCTATAAATTTTTGCCTACGGTTGGGCGCCAACTAAGTATACTGGGTTGAGCATAAGCCGCCGATGACGGTAGCCAGCGGACACAGTTTGGCAAGTATGACTCGCAAAGGATGGTCGCCTGCGTATTACGTATGCTGGATTAAGAATCACCGCGAAGGTTTGTGTAGTGCTGCCACAGGCGACGGCAGCAAGTAACACCTAGTCCAGCTGCTTGCGCTTTCTTTCACGTTTTTCTCCTCGAATTCAGCAAAGACGTTAAGCTGCGTATTGGATTATTCTGGTTTCCATTCCCACCAAGCCCCTTGGTGAATGTAGCTAGGTTCGATTAATTGGGCCAATTCGTAATTAGAAAATATTTATTATGACTAAGTATGCTTTTTAGTTGATTTGTAAATTAATGCATTTTCGGTTATGGGCTCTACATGCTTTATATTGCCTTGTCCTGCGAGTAACTTTTTTTGTCATTCTGAGGCGTGACAGTTATCCCATGAAACCTAAATCACAAACACAATCTGTACAAAAAAAATACAATTAACAGCGGAGCTTTAAGGGCTAGGTTTCCCAGGATAGGGTCCGCGTATGTTGACACAAACCTACCTGGACAGCTGCCGCCATCTACAAGCGACGGCGGCAAGCACGCAACCAGTATGGTTTCCGCCGTCGTTCGTAGATGGCGGCAACCTTTCCAGCTATAACGGAATGAATAGTTGGGCGCGTTGGTGGGAATTCATCGTAGGAAACAGCGCCAAAAACAGACGGCGGCGAAGAAGAAGCACACAGTGTATCGAGTACAGCTGTGCTGGTCTTCCTTCTTTACGAGAGTAGAAAGGCTGAACGTTTTTAAATGAAGGCAATATATCCACTGAATTTTTTTAAACTAATCATCCCTTTCTCATCCTTCAATTGTAGCAAAACGAGCCCACATTCATTTCTGGTCCCTAGCCAAACACGACCCGATCGACGTGATGGTAGGGTTTTTATCAGTATGAGACGTGGCGGGGTTTCCCCGAGCGTGACGCCCTTCCACACTTCTTCGGTCTTTCTGTGTTCATTCTTTAACATCCTTCCGACCCCCCCCCCCCCCCCCCCCCCCCAACAAAGTCAGACCGACTATGTGTCGAAATTTTTAGACGGTAAAGAAGCTGGATGCGTCTTCTTGTCTTCACACCCCTTCGAGTCGAATAGTGCAGGAACCCACTTTCCCATCTCGAGCAGGGAAGGTCTCGTTGACGACGGCCAGACCCCTGAATGTTCTTGGACGATGGTCGTATGCTGAGAAGCACCACATGTTCCACTTGAAAGCCGCTTGAGTCAGATGAACCAAACGTGTGCGCAGATTGCAGCATCAAATGATACTCCTTCCGCCATCTGGAATAGAATACGTCTAGCAGAGCTCGCGTACTTTCCACCGTCTGGATAATTTTTGTCGGTGGACCTTTCTGGTTCAACGTTTGTAGAAGGCAAAGACATAAGCCTTTCATTGATTAGAAAGCGCGCAGGTGTTACAACCTCTTCATCGGCGGATGAGGTCACTTTTTTAGAGGTCGTAAGTTTATTTTTGATTCCACTCCTATGAGCACGGTCAGCAGTTTGTCATACCTCAGACAGCTTTGCTTCAACGTCTTTCGCAACGCTGTTTTCAAAGATCTTACTACCCTCTCCAAGAAGCCGCCCCACCATGGAGCTATTCCTGCAGAGAACTTTCAATGAATCCTGTTGTGTCGGAAGCGTTCTAATACGTCTTCTTCGGCGTTGAGCCTCCATATCAATTTCAAGTCATTTGAAGCACGTTTAAACGTTCGTCCGTTGTCGGAGTGGATGGTTTTGCCGATAGTGGGCGCCCGCCTCCGACACAGACGTCAGTAGGCTTCCTGATCCCGCTGCCATCATCGCGGGAGTGCATGAACTGCCAGTGACCCTACAACAACGTTTTTTCTAGAACACCCGTCGTTGAGAGGCTGAACCTACCCAGCGGCAACGTCATCGGCGATGACATCAGTTCTCCACAGCCACGCCGGCGACTGTGTGAACGGCTGGCAGTGGAATTTTCTCTTTAGTGGTCGCGCAAGCAATACCAACAACATGTCTTACGTGCCGCGCTTCTGCGCTTTCCAGGTGTAACCAGTTTTCAATTCACACTAAAAAAGGATATCGTTACACTTTATTGCTTCCGTGCCCACAACTGCTTTGCGAAATTGATTATGATTGTTTTTCGAACGTACAAATGCTACCACGTTGTATTGAGATGAATCCGAGACCTCTTACTCGTTCCGAGCTGGATGTAGAGTTCTGCCCAGTGAGCCCTCCGAACAGATGGCTGTATTATTTAATGTTTTAAAGGATCTTCAGGCGCGCTCGATTGAGTCTGCCAGGAGTCAGACTGACTTAGCGACTGACATAATAGCTATTTAGGCTGGACAGGAAAGAATTGAAACTAAGATTGGGTGCATTGAGAGAAGATATGACGAATAAGAAGAGAAAACAAATTCTCTCGATCATATTCACCAAGACATCGCTAGCGCTCAAGGCTTAGTAAAATTCTTAAGAGTTCAGCACGACTCGTTGTAAATGCGTCTGGACGAACTGAAGACCAATCGCCACGCGATAATTTTATTTTTCATGGCATTCCTGAGTCCCGACTCGAGTGAATCGTGGGAAAAATTCAAGAAAAAAACGCTCAAGCAGGAATAATTGATACCTTCCCCGAGAATACAACTGAGCGAGCTCTTCGCATAGGGCCCTATTTGCCGAATAAATGTTGTCCTATCAGAGGTAAATTTTCTGGCTACAAGATAAGAGACAGGGTACTCTCCGTGCGTACTACACTAAAAA